AAGCAGTGGTATCAACGCAGAGTACTAAACTGATATTACTAGTAGAGATAGCCGGACAAATCGATTACACAATGTATGCACACAGGTGAACGGTTTACAGAGACACGGCTATGTTTGTAAGTGCTCGACATTGTACAGACTTCGAAAGATTCGTAGTGCTAGGAAATTGCTCAAGTGCATAGAATCGATTGGAATTTTTCAATCGAAAATTACTTGAAACCCTACAGATCCTGAAAAAAAAGCTTAGAGAGATGACAGTGAGGCAAACAATGCAGGCTTTCTGTTTTGAAACTTTCGCTGAGATTCTGGGAAGGAACAGTTGGAAAATGAAAAAAGGGATCTCTTGTCTCTTTGGAGCTCCAATTACTCACTAAGTAGAAATATTTGTGGCCCTATGCATACCACCAAATCTATAGTCGAATCATTTCATATGATCATGTGTGTCATTGCACATACAGTCCACCTTTGGCGTCCTCACCCTGGACTTGCAATCGCAAAAACGCAAGAGGCTTACCGATTGTCATCGATTACATCAATTTGAGGTGATAAGTACCTAAAAAGGAAAGAAAATGTTAAGCACACTTTGAAAACACTTACATGAAAGGTTGTTTTTCCCACGAAATCAGGATGGGAACGCCGAGGTGGACTGTGTGTGCAATGACACAGACGATCATACGAAATGATTCGACTGTACACAAGAGTAAGACCATTTTGAGCAAAATACTTTTCGCTAATAAGTTGAGCTCAAGCATCTATGGCGCAGATTTTCATGCATGCATGAAGTCTTATACTACAGTACGATAGTATAAATGTCCAAAGAAATCCGATTCTACATGAGTTAGAAAAGCATATAAATTAGAGCCAGATCATGAGTTCCAGCATTTATGGTTCAAATTTATCAAAAAAGGATAATGGAACGGGATATCTCTTATCTCAAAGATATAGAAATATTGAGACATCAAAGCAGAATCCGATGTTTATTTAGCTAATGAATTTTGCAGGGAGGATATCTGCGCCTCACTTTTACATGCCATATAATAGCTCATAGCAAAAAAAATTAATGGAAAAATCGTCAAGATGTTCTTTGATAATTTTCGACGTACAATAAAAGCTTAGCAATCTCAGAAAGATTGGTGCTGTGAGGAAGGTCAACAAACACTCTGAAGTGTCTCTGAATGAGTCCGGTCAAGATGCCGCTTGAGCTTAGAGATTTGCTGAAAAGTTCGATCGCAATTCACTTTATATTTTATAAAAATTGTATAGAGGAGAACCAAAAAGCATACCAGATTAAAATAAAGAGCCGGCTGACTTTGAATACACAAAATGCTCTTCCATACAGAGAAAATTGCACATTTTTTAGACAGCATATCGAATCAAGCCATGTATTTGATGCTTGCACTTTTTCCATCAGACTTCGTCAAATTAGCCGAAAACAAGCTGGCTATAGAGAGAAAGCAGATATAGCGTGAATCACGAGCCGAAACTCGACGCATCCAACCGGAAAGCACTCGGATTCGGCAAGCCGGATGCTCTTCGGAAGCATCAAAGCCATGCGGATCGAGCAGTACTTACTGGAACACAGAGGATCTCGTGTCGGGGGCAATGACGGCGCTGCGACTGTTTACACAAGGCTGAAATCACTTCAGTATAGTGGTGGATGAGATGCAATATTCTGTCTAATAGATCTAACCACGGCTAAATTGATTTTTCGTTCGAAACATTATTTTGAGCTCAAAAAATTGGCTTAGTTTAGCATGGAAGTGAGAGTTTAACATAGAGAGTGAAACAGAGCTTCAGCCCTCTTTCGAAAATTTGCGTCTGGTAAACTTTAGTGCTTCCCATTCTTACATATTATTTCTTTGTTTTCATCTTTATCGAAAAATGTTAAGATTCAATACATGACTTTTGAAGCTAGTCAAAAATATCGATATGATGCAAGAATCACTAATTCTTCGTCGGGGAAGTCTTATTTATTCAATATTTTTCATGAGTTCGCTCTTGGCACCAGAATATTCGAAAATCATAGGCTCACAATATCTCAAACAAAGATCAAACCATCCGTCGAATTTTTCAAAATAAAATTCTCGTCCATAGATTATTTGGCCTTTCCACAGCCTGAAACCGAGCATGCGCAAAATCAACTAAGACGTTCTTGTAATGAGATTATGTGAAAGAAGGACATATATACACAAGTTGTTTTACTTCGAACAACTTTGGGCGACCAGCTATTGAGAGAACTCCATGTACGAGCTCCGTGAGCACATGGATTTGGCGAGGAATTGATTGAAAAACAAAAAAATCTACCCAGCCATTATGAGACTTGGGACGGCTGATACATTGACCTAAGCAGTTCAGTTCGGAGCTTTTCTAATCACTGAAAAGGTTATTGTTAGCTAAGTATAGGAATACTCTAAGAAGGGCAGGTATATGACTCGCAGTGGAGTCTCCCTATGAGATTTATATCAGTCGAAAGGTCTTTGAGTGCTGTTTTCAAGACAAGCTTTCATATCTGCTTATCGGTTTAATGAATAAAGTTAGAGGCATTTTTCTGCTTCCAATTTGCATGGTCAGGTACTGTGTAAATGACCTAAATTCGTGATAAATGCGGATTTGCTCCAAAGTTACATTCCCAAATGTCCGAGATATATTTATCCATATAAAGCTGAATGTCTGTATGTATGTCTGTCTGTCTGTGTGTCTGTATGTATGTACGTATGTTCCGAATAGAAATTTTTATTTCTGAATCGATCCGGACCAATGGCACATATACACTTCGGGGCGGGGCGGGTGTCGTAGGCTACTTTTCGTTATCGGTTGATATCGATTTTATCGCTTTTTATTTTTTGCAAGGTCGGCACAGGGTGATCGAGCATGCTGATTACTAAAACAGCGGGAATAGGGAAATGTAGATGTGGGCACAGGGAAAGGTTGTACGGATGAGTTATCATAGTGTTTGACAGGGCCGAGCGGAGCCGGGCAAGCCAGCTAGTTTTACATTTAAAAAAATTTATGGGAACGGTATTGGAACTACTCACCCGCCTTTGTCCTGCAATAAGCAACCAAAATCAGTGTCATTTGAGGCTAGACAAATGCCTGTAACTTTGTGCAGTGAACCGACTGTTAAGGAAGGTTGTTTTGGAGTCAGCATTCAAAAACCTTTCGACTGATATACATCTCATAAGGAAAGTCCACTGCAAGTCTATACCTTCCCTGCTAAGCGTGAAAATTGCAGATGCATCTGCCAGCGCTCACGCAATGCTGCAGTAGAATTTTCTTGAACCTTTGTTCTTTTATACCATATTAGCTTCATCTATGTCTAAGGGTCCAGCAATCAAGTACCTCCATCAAATCTTGCTATTTTAACATCATTCGCAAATGAATGATTCTGCTGAGTCTTATGTTCGAGATTATTTTTGATCACAGCTCAATGTTTTGTCACCCGCCCCTCTTTTCGTGACAACATCCTGAAACCTTTGCTTCCTTGTGCCGGTTAAAAAATTAATCGAAAAAATCAATGGTCCTTTGCTGACTGAACATTTCACATGATGACAACACTCTTTCGATATATTATTCAAAGGGGTTTTCAGTAATTTTATTCTGATTTTTCCAGAACAATCTATATGATTGTCGTTGTAGAAGCTATCTTTTTTTGACATGTTTCACAATTTCTTGAGCCGAGTATTCATACCAAATGTTCTGTGATAACAATGGCCCGTTTGAGAAATAAACGAATGGATAATCTTCTTTCAACGCTACAGAACATATGGCTACAGAAGTTCATGTACACTTGCAAAGTCCAAGAGTTTACGCACAAGTACTTCACAAATACTTACAGTTAGAAATGACATTCCATAACGGATAATGACATTTACTAGTTAACATTGCACAATGTTCTTGAGAGGTGGACTT